GTGTATTATATATAAATAAATAATAATTTATTATAAATAAATAAACAAAAAATATATAGAAATAAAAAAGATATAATGAAAAAAATATAAAAATAATCCAAATTAAATAAAATAATACGCAAAACTAAATGAAAATAGTTGAAAAAAATGAGAAACTAAGAAATAAAAAAGCAAATAACAATAGTTTAAAAAATACAATCAGTAATTTTGGATAATTCAATGTGTTTAGTATTTGATAAATTGTATGATCACTGAAAATAGTTACTCAATTTATTTTCTTAAAATTGTTTACAATGCCTTTTATAAGATTAAAATTATAAAATACATAATCGAACAATTTCAGGTGCGATTTTTTGAGAGTTTGTAATATAGAACAAATTAAAAATTTAGTTGAAGTCTAGAATAAAACTTTTTTATACAACCTATTTAATATAAATAATGAATGTGTTATCTTTTAATGAATTCCATAGCTTTAACTTGACCTGACGCTGTGCATCTGTGACAATTCAAGGTGGGAAGATAAGCTATTTAAATTTTCATCTCTCTCTCTTTCTCTCTCTCTCTCTCCACACACACACACACACACACACATATATATATATATGATAAAATATACTTTTACGTTATGCTATATTAAAAGGTTAAAGTGATCAGGGACAGAGTTTATGTAAATATAAAAGTGGACATTGAGGTCCACATACAGTCTGTTTCACGCTTAAACGCACTCAAGACGATTTCATGCCTTTAAGAATGAAACAGGGTGTTGCTGCTGTGTTTATATATATATATATATATATATACACACACACACATAGATATATATATATATATATATATATATATATATATATATATATATATATATATGCATGCATGACATGTTTGTAGGAGGTAGTATCCGAAACAGAAGTGGAAATGATGAGACTAAGTAACCGAATCTATTAAACGACGCGTTTCGTCGACATGATATATGTTCGTTTCAGTCGGAATCAAATTCCGACCTGAATAAGCGGAACTTAACACACGTCACTTCGGCGAAACGTGCCGTTTAATAGCTTTCAGTTAGTCTAATTATATATATATATATATATATATATATATATATATATATATATATATATATATATATATATATAATATTTATAACGTAATTATAATTATAACGTAAGTTTATCACTATGAAAATAACCAATTTGTTTGATGGTGTTGATATAAAATAAAAAGTTTTTAAAGAGTTCAAAACCAACGCTACCCCTACTGGGGGAATATTTTTACGTAAGATGTAATGGCCAATCAAATAACAAGTATATGTTAATTTAATTTGAGCTTAATATTCGTAACTTTTATTGTTTAATTACATAATAAATTGGAGATTAACTAGTTGTCCTGATTTCCTATATAATCTAATATTCATTTTAAAGCATTAATCAATTGTATCTAGGGTCCGTTCTCGCGTTATTTGAATTATCATTTGAATATCAATATCAGGTGCTGAATAAACACAAATACGCTTGAGGAAGCGTCTGCAATAGGGATTGGCTAGCCGCCCTAGTATACGGGTATCCTCGAATAGTGACCATATATATATATATATATATATATATATATATATATATATATATATATATATATATATGAGATATGTGAATGTTTATATATCAAGATCAATGTTTTTTTAGGAAAAACTATGACAAATTGCAGTCTTTCCCTAATATATATATATATATATATATATATATATAGAGAGAGAGAGAGAGAGAGGAGAGAGAGAGAGGAGAGAGAGTTGGAGACATGAAAAGATATGATCAGACAAAATGATATGAAGTGGGTGAGAGAGTTAAGTAAATTGTGGGGACTAAATAACCCAACAGAAGAAGCGTGATGACAAAGACAGCTTGAGGATGAACGGACATTCCCCTCATTACTAGACAATCAATACATTGAGTCGCAATCAGATTTACTCCTCGTGTTTTAATTGATTTGCATTGATTATGGGAATAGACAATTTTTCAGACGTCCGTTTCTAATACCATAATAAAATTTTCTATCGCCTACTAATTATTTAATAATAATAAGTTGGATGAAGAGAAAGTTTGCATGAACGTGCGTCTGTTAAATAGCAAGTATATGAACGAGAGAGAGAGGGAGAAACAGAGAATGAGTATGCGAATTAGAGATATATTTAGATAAATAGGCATGATCAAAGTGATATTAACTGAGTGGTATATATATATATATATATATATATATATATATATATATATATATATATATGAATAAAAAGACAAGAGAAAAAACTATTTTTAGCTGACGCGTTTCGTCCCCCGAGGGACTTTATCAAGGCAAATATGGGATTTATTTTTTTGCACATATTTATATACAAGAGCAAGGTTATCGTGGGTTTAATAACAGCATTGCTCTTGCATATAAACACGTGCAACAAAAATGCAACATTTGCTTTGATAAACTCCCTCAGAGGACGAAACGCGTCGGCTAAGTATTGTTTTTCCTCTTGTCATTTTATTAATTTTTGTCCCTTTACAGATGCACTACCTGAAAATAATTTAATTTACGCTCACCCCCCACACACACACACACACACACACACACATATATATATATATATATTAGTGTATATACATAACAATCAACGCCGATAGCACGACTCTGAGTTTCATGCAGTTCCTGCAATCTTCAGGTGCTGACATTTATTCTGACCATTGTAGCGTTCGCTAACGGGCTATTAACATTGGATATTATGTATATTCACTAATATATACTTATTGCTCTGTCACATAACATTGCACACTGTATTTATAACAACTGTGGAAGAAATGTATTTATGCGCACGTGCGTGTATGTATATTGTTTATCTTATCCCTACCTATATGGAGAGAGGGAGAAATGAGAGAGAGAAAGTTCGTGTATGTGTGTGTGAGAGAGAAAGAGAGAGAAAGGGATTTATATATGAGAGAGAGAAAATTCGAGTGCGTGTGTGTGTGAGAGAGAGAAAGAGATTGATATATGAGAGAGAGAGAGAGAAAATTCGTGTGTGTTTGTGTGTGATAGAGAGAGAGAGAGAGAGAGAGAGAGACGGGGGAGAGTTGGCACATAAATCGCTAGAAAAAGAGAATGTTTCCTTGTTCATTTTGAGTCGTTCGCTAAATAAACAGAAAAAAAAAGTTGAAGGTGCTGTAAAACCCCCATTCACCCCCCTACTCATCCACCTCGTTGCTTATCATCCGCTTTTGCCATGTCTCACAGTACAAACTCTAGCAAATAGAGGAGATTCTATTCCCTTCAGAGCCTGATAAAACCTGACCTGGAACACACGAGCTTCGTTGCCAGCAATTATTTTCAGTTCATTAACATCAACAACTGTTCCGACGCCAATAGCAAACACGATTACTCCAGATTTCTGTATTTCAACTGCAGCATTTCTTGTTTCAATTGGCAAGGATGACTGGCCGTCTGTGATAACAATAACGACATGGGGCACACCCTGGCGGCCACCATGCTCCTGAGTAAAACCTTGATCTTTGATGAAGCGTAGGGCTTTGTTCGTGTACGATTCTCCGTAAGTGCGTTTCATAGCTTTGAGTCCGCTGAGCAGATCCCTGGTGTTGTGGTGTTGATTCAGGAAAAAATGGTTGGTGATGTTTGTGCTGAAAGTGACAACTCCTATCTGTGTGTACTCTGGCCCGATCACACTGTCTTTGATGAACCGCTCAACAAATTCGATCTGATTCTCAAAGTCATCATTCCAGAGGCTAGTCGATTCGTCCATCATGAAGATGACATCCAATGGAGTGAGACCACACACTAATATTAACAACAAAAACAGAATTTGATTAATATTGTTAATTAATAATAATAATAATAATAATAATAATAACAATAATAATAATAACAAATGTGGCACATGGGAACATCAACAATTCCAGTTGTAGTTGGAGCCTTCAGATTGATTGGAAAAGATTCCAATAGATTCATTGAAGGGATTCCTGGTAGCCAAAAAAATTGTTCTCACGAGTACAGCCCACACCTTACGAAGGGCTTTATATATGTAAAATATATATTTTTAATTTTATTTAGAAAGAAAGTTAATTGCTCAGTGGAAAATATCATGATACCATTTCTGACCTTAGGTCTCTGGTCGGGACCCGGAAAGAAATGAGTACACACCAGAAATCAAAAGAAATAATAATAATAATAATAATAATAATAATAATAATAACAAAACTCCTGTTGAAAATACCTGTTTTCTGATAGATGTTGCAGCCCTGGTCGACAAATCAGATAATAATAATAATAATGACTAGAAATACTCGTGAATATTTCATGGTTTTTTATTTTAAATTTCTGATTAATCTTAATTCTTAAGTTAATGGTTGAATAAACTCTGCTAGTTCCACGACGATTAAAATTTTTTGAGCTTAACAACTTTAAGAAAATATTACAATAACAATCATAATGCGCGTCACGATTTAACGAAGTAAGAGGGTACAAATGAAATCATCTAAAATTGACAAGGTTTTCAATTTCATCGAAGCAGACGTAAAATGCATGAAAGTATTATCACATCATCTATCTTCTCTACCTTTCTTTCTTTCCCTAAAATCAAACCACATTTCTTTCTTACGTTTTGTGGGCAGCGTACAAGCTATTACAAGTCTATCCTGGAAATAAAACAGGAATTGCTCATTGTTTATCTGAGGTTATGTCAGAGCGTACCGTACGTACTAAGGAACGAAGAACAAAAACAAGAGCAACAACAACAACAATAATAATAATAATAATAATAATAATAATAATACACTAAAAAGTATCCAGGGCTACTGAAGAGGTATATTGCTTATCTGCAATTAATACTACCAATTAATATTCGTGAGAAAACTCCATACCAAGTCATGGCGGTGATCAATCGGCAGGAATACTGAGGAAGATGTTTGAGATTTCAATTGATTTATTTTCACTCTCCAAGAAAATATAAATAACAATTACTTACCTATTTTGCATACATTTTCCTTGAGCGAAGCTTCTATATCTTTGAGGGCACTGAAGTCAGAACTCAGATATACGTTGTCGGGTTTGGATGCAATCGCTTTTAGCTCTGTTAGATCGACATTCCTAATACCAATCGCATAAACCCGGATCGATTCATTATGCAGCCGCTCGGCTTCGACCAGTGTCTTTTGTCTGTCTCGCGACGCGCCGTCGGTCAAAATGATTGCAATCTTTGGGACTCCAACCCTGCCACCATTTTCTTTGTTGAAGGCTTTCTTGTGTAGGTACTCCAACGCTAACCATGTGTGTGTTTTGCCCTGCGGGTCGGTGATGTTCGACAAGGCTTTCTTAATTCCCTCTTTTGTCCTGTAGGTATTTAGAAAGAAATCGGTGCGTATCTCTGTGGAGATGGTGGCTACCCCGATCCGAACGATATTTTGCGAGACGTCCATATCGTCAATAAAAAGCTTGACAAAATCCAGCTGCTGCGAAAAGTCTTTCCATGTCATCCTTTTAGATCCGTCCAAGATGAAAACAATGTCGGCTGGCTTGTTGCAGTCGAATTCTTAAAATGAAAGAAGAGAACAAAAACTCAAATATCATTGAGACTGAAAACCTCAAGCATTATTTTAGGGAAGTGGATTTAACAACTTTTCATCCGGTTCTGGGTCAGTCCGTTTTATTTGTTTCTTTTTTTTTTAATTTTAAATTTTATTTTTCTTAATTCAATTTTTCATTTCTTTTGACGCAAATAAAATTTAGCTGAGAGTTCGACGGTATGATAAGTGTATAACCATTTTGAAAACTTCTATAAATGCGAAATTCTTAAAAATTCTTTTAAAAAAATTTGAAACTTGTCAATAGACGGCATAGCACAACATTTACGTCAATAGAAAAGCTGTTTTGGCAAACATGGCTAAAGTTTATACTAAGTTTATAATTTAAATTATATCATACTGTCTCGGGACGCGCTGTCGGTCAAAATAATTGAAATCTTTGGGCCTCCAAGTCTACCACCATTTTCTTTGCTAATTATTTAAAAATTCCGCAAAGAATTAAATTTAAATTCAATATATAAAAAATTAGTATTATAAAAACAATTAAATATAGAAGAAAATTCTGCAGAGAGAACAAGGAGGGAAATATTTAAATACAGATGGAAATTCCACATCTCGAAATCAATTTCACATATAGAAAAAAAATTACATATAAGGAAGATGTCACAATAGAAAAAAAGCACATATAAAAATATAAGTGAAAAACAGGAGTGCGAGGTTCGGCTGATACAATGTTAGCTGAAATTTGTTCCTGTGGCGACACTTGGAGTGTGGGGTTGAAATAATGTTATGTCAGTTGGAATTTTTTTCTATGTCGACACTTGGATACCAATTAATTCCTTTTGTTTAGTAGAATATCTTGATTCTTAAATTTAATGATTTTAATTTTCTCATCCAAACATAAATTGCCTCTACTCTTAAAGCTCTATTTGGAGTCTGAGCAAAACCTATAAATTCCCAGTCAATTTGAGGGTTCAGGTCTTTCTACCTCAATTCCCAAATTTTTGGGGAGAGAGTAGTTTGGTGTTTTAGTCTTGGGTTGGAAAAAGAGTGTCTGTGGTTATAAAATCTTTTTTTCCATCCCCACGCAGAAATCCCAATATAAACTTGGTGGTTTGATTTATTTTCTTTAGGGTAAATGGTGGCTTGATAAATAACAGATGCTCTACATTTTCGCTCGATTGGGCAAAGGTTGCTATTTCTACAATTACAAGGGTTTATTTTATTCGAATTTTTGTTGACATCATTGAATTTGTTAGGGATATACTTGTTGTAGGAGTCAATTACTTTAAACATGTTTTTAGTACATGAATAACTTATTTTAATGGTTTTTTTTATTGAAGATATTTTTTTTGTTTGTTTGTTTTTAAGCATTACGCCCCGAGCAAGGCGTGAAGCCACTAGGATGCAGGGGGTTTCAGAAGATTTGGAGCAAGAGCAAATAGAAGTGATAGAAGAAAGGGTGAGGAGAAGGATAGTGGGTAGATCAAGGTAACTGGAGGTGTCGATTGACATTACATTTGAATAGTTGGAGATTATAGCTCTCAGGGAAACAGTAATTGGGAAGGGTGTTCCACAGGCGAGAGGTGCGAGGTATGAAGCTATTGGAGTAGAAGAGACGGCTACATTTAAAAGTTTCTACAGTGTAAGGGTGGGAGCGGGATGCCAGCCTCGTAGAGCGCTAGAATTCATGGAGTCTGGGAACCAGTAAGAGCAGCTCATCGGAGCAATTACCATGAAAGTATTTGTAGAAAAGACAGAGAGAGGCGACGGCGCGTCTTTGAGAGAGCAACTGTCGACGAGATGCCAGATCAGGGCCAATTATATTACATGGTTGTTATTCTGAAAGTGTTTGTTTATCAGTTTCTGTAAAATTTGTTCAATATTAATTCTAGATAATCTACAGAAGGTGTGGGTGAACTAAATAATATTTCCTTTTCTATTTTTGTGTAGATTACTACTCTTAACTTCACTATGGTTATTTGTGGGGTTTAAGTAAGATAGTTTATGTGCAAAACCACTTTTATGGAACGCTTTTTCGTACAATGCGTTATTCATCTCAAATATATTCTTATTAGATGACAGTTTATTGATTCTAGAACCAACGGTAATTGGTATCTGCTTCAAGATGGTATGGGGGTGGTTCGAGTTAATATAATTAGGAGTTTCATATTCTTTGTGGTAAGTGTGATGTCAAGGTAATCAACTAATGGATGGATGGAGTTTTAATCTGATGATTTAATTTTTATTGCTATAAATATTATTGATTTCACTGTTTAGAAAAACACGGATAGAAACTCAAATACGTGTACCTAATAAAAACTTTTATAGTAATATATATATATATATATTATAAATTTATTAGTTTAAAAATATGGTTCCATCGCTACACAGGAATTACCATGTTTCAAAAAAAAGAAACTAAAAACTTCAAATTTAATTATAGATTTAAATTAAAATCCCATAGTACTGTTTCATTTTCAAGCGAATTTTGGAATAACTTATTTTGAAATTTACTGAGTTTTATAAGCACGTACATTCTAAATATTAGTTGCTAAGGATACGTGGAAATTCAATAATTTGACAAGGGGTGGTAGGGTATTCATTTTTACTGACAACTATTGTATCAAAATATGAGTTACTTTCGAAATGAGGTAAATTAAGGTAGGGTAGGGGTGCCTGTTCAACAAGTGATGACATCCATTTTTCGCATGTCGTCTGTTTTTTTTTCAATGACAAAAAGTTTTTCGGCACTTTTGTTATGTCGTAAAAATTGTAATTGTATACATAAAGATTGAGCACTGTTTTTTAAAAATAAAAATAATAAGACCGGATTATAAATCTTACTGTTGTTTCTCTTTATTTAATCCGGTCTTATATATTTTAATATATATATATATATATATATATATTCAATTGTATAGATATGAGTTTGTGACCCTCGATTTCACGCTTTTACGATCATCAGACAAACTGGGTTATTTTTTTAAATTGAGTGTATTTATACTTGTTTGTATTTCATTATGTTTGGTGGTGGGTTTGTGTTCGTTTGGGATGACACTCTCACACATACAGATACACATATAGGTGTGCGCATTTTAGTTCACACAAACATACGCACATAAACAACCCAAGATTAGGCGCAGATACACATCCATGGTTTCAAGTATACAATTTTAAGCAATTGTAATTCTATTTCGGTGACGAGACGCTACTTGCCGATGTTCTTTCAACAAGAGTCAGTTTGGGTTGTTCCTGATCGGCCGCCTGCGTCGCCAGCCGACCTTACACTTCATCATACACACATACACACGTAGACGTGCACATACACTCCTGTGTATGTATGCATAAAAGCATGGATGTGCATCTGCGCCTAATCTTGCGTTGTTTATGTGGTTATGTTTGTGTAAACTAAAATGCGTACACCTGTATATATGTGTGTGTGTATATGCGTGAGAGTGTCATCCCAAACGAACACAGAGAATTTCCCCCTCCCACCACCAAACATAATCGAACACAAACAAGCATAAATAGATTCAATTTTTAAAAAATAAACCAGTTTGTCTGATGATCGCAAAAACGCAAACCCAGGGTCACGAACTCCTATGCACACAGCTGAATATGTTAGTTCTATCACTGATATTGAGTGCTTTCCACTAAGTACTGCGCATATAAAATAATATATATATATATATATATATATATATATATATATATATATATATATATATATATTATGAAAATAAAGCATTATATATTTTTAAAAAATCCACATTACAACCAAAAAACGTTTGTGGTTTATCTCTCCTTTTTAATATATACCCTTTTCTCTCGTTGGAACAACTATAATCTCTTCCCTTTGTATATATATATAATAAAAATTTGCTATATTTATAAAGGAAAATGCTCAATTATGAAAACATAAAGTTTGTAGATGTAGAAAGTGTGAACATAGAAATCGACACTGCATTATTATATAATAATGATATTGTTATCATTATTGGTATCAATACTAATATCATTATTAATAATATTACTATTATTATCATTATTATAATTAATATTATTATTATCATTAATATTATAATTATAATATTATTTGATAATGTTATTATTAATAATATTATTATTAACATTATTGCTATCATTATTATTATTATTATTATTATTAGTAGTAGTAGTAGTAGTAATAGTAGAAATAATACCTGCAATATTTCCATCTGGACGACTAGTTGTGAGAATTTCAATTCTGTGTGCAGAGCTGAACTGCAAAAATAACAGGTAGGTTAAAAAAATAAGTGTTGATGCCATGACACTAAAAAAAAACAATGGAGAGAAAACGCAAAAAAAGAAACTATATTTATACCAAAATCTATCTTTCTTTCTTCAACTCAAAATGCTTGAGAAAGAACACAAATGTTATTAAAGATTACAAGGCCCTGAAACGGAAGATATATAAATATATATATATTTTTAACGGAATTATCTTTTACCTCATCTCACCTACACAGTCATTGATATAAACTTGATTAGTTGAGCTTAAAAAAATAATTTTTATCTGGCTGGCGATCAATTGGAAATATTACACACATTCACATCTTAAAAAAATCAAGAGGAAATTATTCTTCTTCTCTTTTTCTATGACTCTGTTTATCTTTCATACACTGATACAAAACATTCCCATAAATACATAGGTATGTATGTTCAGTTTCAGACACATAAACATGGATACACATATGGATTAATATCTAATACACCCCCAAAGATAATGTGAGAATATATTAATGGCTGGCCATTACTTTCTAATCAGAACCGTCTGCTATGACCGCGAGCCAAGCCAATGTTGCAGACGCCCGCTCAGGCATATCTGTTTGTAAAACACCCACAGAAACCACTTAGGCTAAGTTAAATTTTCTGGGAAAGAGCTCATAATCAGACACGATCAATAGTTT